TTTTTTTTCGGTACCGGTACCAGTTTTATTTTGTTGTATTTATCCGCGACACCTTAAAGGCCGGTCCGTAAAAATATTGTCAGGCATAAACCGGTCTGTGGTGCAAAAAAGGTTGGGGACCGCTGCTTTAGATGATAATTAAAAAAAACCCTTTTGGTCCTCCTACTGTCTACACACCGAGGTCTGAGTGATATTCTAGGAATGCTGAAGCTGTTCTCTGTTGAACTGGTTGGTCCGTAGGCAGTGATTTCATACCTTTTTTATCTCGAATTTCAAACATGCACTCCTCTGGAGCAGGTTTATTCTGCAGCATAAGTTACCATGGCGATGTACCTTGGTACCAAGTGAACCACCTTCATAACATGTAAATGCATGTAAATCATTAGATGTCATCAGATTTGTTTTATTGATTTACTGATTTTTGTCATTTTGGCCTGCAGCTTAACTCTTTTTCCATGTTTCTGTTTTTTTTTTTTTTTGTGTGTGTAGCAGAAGGAGACGCGGAGGATTTCTGGATCTGTTCTTTGAAGGCTTTCTTCACTTCTAGTTCTTGCCGCTGTAGATCTACCTGCAGCACCTCGTGGGATGATGCACACAGGGGTCGGGGGTTATGGGTTTTGGGAGAGGGGAGGAGGGATTATAGGGGGGGCAGTTATTCCACTTGTTTGACAAACTAATGGCATCATAACTCCAATCTGTTACATAAAAGCAGGTCTAAACTCTACATGTTTAAAAAAAAAAAAGTTGTTTCTCACACTAACTTGACTAATGATTAAGCCGCTCTGGGTTTACCTAGTACTTAACATGTCCACTCTCCATTTACCGACTGAACAGTGTCTCTTTCCAGTCAGTGAAATTCAGCCCATGTTTAACGGCCAGTGCAAGTGTAACTTCCTCTTGTATTCTGCGTAACACGTGGAAGTACAATCAATCATTAATTTAAAGCAGGTGCTGCTCAGCAATAGGAACATGTTGTTATCCACGCCAAGTGTGTCATTACAAAGCACAGACATTAACACTACAGACACAGGACTAAGTCTATATGTGGCCAAAAGAAACTGCTCATGTATTTGTGATTATGTAAAAGGTGTTTCTAATAATCTGATTTACGACACTTTTAACCTCTCGCTTTAGGGCACGTGATTGTTCATTAACATTTTGTCCCGCTGTTTTCCGTATGTATGTAAGAGCCCATTAGACGTGCTTTTACCTGCCTGTATCTGTACCAGTCTTTAATTTAAAAACACATTATGGCCTTACACTATTTGGATAGTGGCAGAAATTGAATGTATATCACATTAGAAACATATTTCTGATAATGTTTGTATTTAATGAATCCACTGCAATGACTTGTTGCAATAGTTGTTTTCCACACTGGAATCATTTTACTATCAACCAAAAGCTTCACTGCTGTTAGTCTGTATCTTTATAAACGTTGCTTTTGTGGGAAGCCTTCAAAAGAAATTAAATTAAATTACTTTTTTTTTTTT